ATTTTCTTGTATATATTTAGTCAAAATTATTATTTTTTGACTTTTTAGTTAGCAAGAATGACACTTTTTATGGTTCCTTGAGAGTATACTTTAGGTAGAAACCATTACTAGTGTGCACAAGCCCGATCCAACATCGCCACTGCAGCTGTTGGGCCTATTGGGCCGGGGCTATGTGGTGTTGAATCGGTAGCAGTTCTCTCCCCCGCAAGCCGCTGCGTTGCGGCGACCGGCGTGAGCACCCGGTCCCCCACCACCTGCCGCCGGCGAGCCGCGGTGAGTTCCTCCCCCTTTCTCCTCCCGGTTCCTCAAGTCCCGCCTCCTCGCCGCGCTCCGCGACCACCTCCTCTCCTTCTACTCCAGATGCCGCCGCCTCGGCTCACCGCAGCTTAACCCGCCTTGCAGATCCAGTGGCGATTCCCTTCCTCTCCGCGTGGGCGAAAGGATCCAGTGAACTACTTCCACATACTTGCTGCTTCTCCCCTGCCCATGGTTAGCCTCTCGAGCTTCTTCTCCTTTCTCAGTTAGATAGCGTTTTGGGGCGCAAGTGCCGTGTATTGTAGTTTACCAGTTTACCACGAGAAAATGAGAATTTTGCCCTCCTGGGCTTCGCTAAAATACCATCGCTTCGTCGGAATACCTAAAAAAAAACGGGTGCACCACGTTAATTTGCCATTTCGTGATTTTAAATAACTTTGAAATTTTTTCGCCCCAAAATTTTCAACTGACCGTTTGACCCTGCCTCCGTTACCTGGGACTTTTACATTTTTACCATTATAAAGATCGGCACTCATTCGAATATCACTTTTTGATGACACTTACAACTTTACCAGATGAGAGAAGTTTTAGTTATAGATTTACCACTTTTGCGCATGAGGCATGCCACGCGAGCTCGACACGTTGGCGCCTAGTCAGCATGAGCATGTGAAATGTCGTTGCTACCCCTGTCTTGCTCCTCTCTCTCCATCCCCGACAGCTGGGTCCTGCGACATCTGTCACTGCCAGGTGGGCCCCACTAGTCAGCTTCGTCTTCCAGCTTGTCTTCCCCATCTCCTACTATGCTCAGGCGCGTCCGTGTCCTCCATGACCAAGCCCCGCCGGGAGGGGCCGCGACTGTCCGGCTGGGCTTGGGGCGGCCTCACCGACGTCTAGCCGACGAGTGGCGGCACCCGGCCACGCGTCCTGCAGGGCCCAAGCGGCTCGCGGGCAGAGCCCAAGCGGCTGGCGACGGGGCTATAGAGCTCCCGCAGGAGGCTCGAGTGGGAGGACCGGGATGCCTCGGTCGGATGCCAGCAGGGCGACGTGCGTGCTACAGACCCGAGGCGCGACCACCGAGAGGCAGGGCTAGCACCTGCTCCAGAGATCGGCCGAAAACGAAGGAGCATCTCGGTTGTCCATGGAGGCACCTCGCCGGAAAGTTGACTGGAAAAAGGAAAACGAACGGAAACTACCGCCCAGCTCCACGCCCGATCCCGGCCACTGGGCTCTCCCCTGCCGTGCGCGCCTGCCCCCGCTGACTCAGTAGAGCCCGAGGCCGCGGAGGCCAGCACGCAGCGGTGCTACATCAGCTCGTGCGCGTGGCGGCGTAGCTGTAGCTCGTGCCCGCGGCATCCAGCGCGGCGGCGGCGCTGTAGCTCGTGCCCGCGGCGTCCAGCACGGCGGCGGCGCAGCAGCTCGGTCCCACGGTGGCCATGGAAGAGGCGGGCACGGAGGCGGCGAGCTCGGCCATGGAGGCGGCGGGGCTTGGCCTGAGGAGTGAAGGAGATGGGAGGAAGAAAGAGCCATGGGCAAAAAGGAGACGAAGTTGACTAGTGGGGTCCATCTGGCAGTGACAGGTGCCGCGGGACCCAGCTGTCGGGGATGGAAAGAGAGGAGCAAGGCAGGGGTAGCAACGACATTTCACGTGCTCATGCTGACTAGGCGCCAGCGTGTCGAGCTCGCGTGGCATGCCACATGCGCAAAAGTGGTAAATCTATAACTAAAACTTCTCTCGTCTGGTAAAGTTGTAAGTGTCATCCTAAAAGTGATATTCGGATGAGTGCCAATCTTTATAATGGTAAAAATGTAAAAGCCCCCCGTTACCTTATCCCGTCGTCCTCTTTCTTTCCATCACGAACCGAAGTCTCTCCGTCTCTGTCTCACCCGGCGGGGAGATCTCTCGGCCGAGAGCACGACGCCGGCGGCCGTCGCCCCCTGGCCGCTCCTCCCCAGGTGCGCCCTCGACCCCTGCGCCCACGCCCCCATGGCTCCCTGCCTGCGCTGGCCCCAGGGGAGCAGCAGCACGTGGCGCAGTGCGCCGAGGAGGCGTGGCGTGCACAGCGCGCGCCGCCTCTCCGCGCCCTCACTCGTGGCCTCCCGCACGCGCCCATCGCGGCCGCGACCACGCCGTTGTCGTCCGCGTCCATCACCTTGCTCACCACGTCGTCCTCTAGCGGGTCAACCGGCGCTGCAGGCGGTTCCGTATCTCCTTGACCATCCTCCTCCGCGGTGCCTCTTCCTTGGCCTCGTCCTTCGCCGCGGTGATCTCCGAGGCTGACCCGTATGACGACGTGGACGCCGGGGACGAGTAGAACGAGTTCGATGTGCTCGCGGCCATCACCGCCCGCGTGCCTTACGGTGGTCCTCACGGACTTGGTGGCTGCCGGAGGCATAGTGCGCAGCACGGCCTGCCGCGCCGCTTCGACGGACGGCGGCGCAGGTGCCGTCGTGCCGATGGCCGCCTTGAGCGCGGAGTTGGGGATGAGGGTGTCCGCGCCCCCTGCCTCGACGCCCGATGTCAGAAACGCGAGCTCCGCGCAGAGCTCGGCGGCGCGCTTGGGGCGTGCTCCAGACCAGTGAGAGAAGAGAGACGGGAAAGACGAGACAGAGGTACCGTCCGTGACAAGAAGAGAGAGAACGAGAAGATAAGGTTGATGGAGGTAAGGGTAAAACGGTCAAAGCAAGTGCAAATTTGGGATGAAAAGATTTCCAAAATTTTTAAAATCACAAAATGACAAAATAGCGTTGAGTACATGTTTCATAGAGGCATTCTAGCGAAGCCCACGAACTCGATGGCATTTTAGCGAAACCCACTTGGGATGAGGGCAAAATTCTCATTTTCTCGTTTACCACCGCGCCGTTGCTTGAAAATATTTGCGTCCCTACCTGCTTTTAGTAGCTTTCTGATTTGTATATGGTATTATTGGGCTGCTAAACCCCCTGAATTTTCATCCCTGCTTATCTTTCTGTCCTTTGTAAGATGAAATGAAATGATGCTGCGGTATATTGACTGTGTAATTGTAGCTAGAGTAATGTTAGAACATGTCCAAATTGAAAAAAACGCATGCTCTCTTTGCCATATTGAACATTACTTAAGAACGCTATAATATTAATCTGATCCCTTGTTCGGTTCCTGTGTAATCTACAAGCTGTTTCCGTTTCCGTTTCATTGCATCTTATTGACATATATGCTTACTTGTTCAATTGTATAGTATGATTGTTTGGTGATCTGTTCCAGTGGTTCTGTTGTCATTTCATTTTGATGCATGAATACACTGATAACCCCCTCCCCCACCCCCTACCCGAAAAGAAATAGCTAAAAATCTGGATACACAAGATGGCAGAGTTTTTTTTATATTGCTATTTACTCGTATGCAATTTCTGCAGGCTACACCACTTATAGCAGGACTTGCAGTTGCAGCAGCTGCTCTTGCCGGTAGATATAGCATCCAAGCTTGGAATACTTATAAGGCACGGCCTGTAGTTCCAAGGATGCACAAATTCTATGAAGGTGGCTTTCAACCTACGATGACACGAAGGGAAGCTGCTTTAATCCTTGGTGTCAGGTGCACATTACATAATATCTGTACCACAGTCGAGCATTGTTTATGTTTCTCTTTCATATCAATATCCTGTTCTCTAGCACCATTTAAATTTATGCTAATCTGGCTGGAGTTAATCGTTTGGGGTTAGAAACGGCAGGAGGTGGGTAGCGATGAAAACGGACGGAAAAACCTAATTTCTACTTCCGTTTCTATATTTTTTGGCGGAAACGGGATCGGGTTCGGAAAATGCGGGTTCGGAAACGGAACCGGATTATGCGGGTGTACGGAAACGAACCAATACGGTCAGAAATTCAACGGAAACGGTCGGAAGCTGGGAACTTAAGCCGGAATACCGCACATATTTATACTCACCAATCACAAAATAGGTTTACCATGAAAAATATATTTTCTTGTAAATTTACTGTACTTATTTAGTGTATCATAAATATTATTTTTATACATTTAGTCACAGTTACACATATATATAATTGTTTGGCTCGTAATTATATTAGAATTGTATTCTTTAGAATTTGACCGGTTACTGTATTAGATTAGAATTGTATTCGGAACAACATAGAGTAAATATAATGTTCGTAGCTAATTGATCCAAAACGTACATTGAAGTATTGAACTATCATTCCCTGAAATCCAGGTGAAATCCGGAACAAATCTGGAAAAATTCCGACCAAATACGGAATTCCGAAAATACGGGCGGAAAAACACCAACCCCGTTTCCGTCCGGATTCCGAGACTTTCCGTCCCGCGACCCGTCCCGTTTCCGGATTTTTCCGACAATACGGAAACGGTCGGGTCAAATGTAGAAAAACGGTCGGGTCGGGGCGGGAAAAATTCCGTCCGTTTTCAACCCTAGGGGTTGGTGGAGAAAATTGGCTATTTGATACTTTCAAGAAGTGATTTGGAAGATTTGCCACTTTGGAGATGGGTTTCGCAAAACTGCCACATAGATCACTAGCTCTTTGATGACACTGCCATATTCATTTTCTTTATCTTTCCTAATTAACGGGCCAGATTGCCCCTAGCTATGTACACGAATCTGGTTGGGCACGCAATGGTGCCACTAGGCATTGGCCAGCTCATGTGTGCCCATGGCCGCTCATTGGCTGTGCAGGTTACGGGTTGGCTGACCACGTGGATTACTGGCTGCCCTGCCTTTCTGTAGGCTGCTGGCTAGCCCAGCACATGGAGTCAGAGCCGCCGGCGCTAGCGGAGCCGGGGCCTCTGGCACATGGGAGGTCGAGGCGCCTAGCCCTGTCGGAGTCAGGGCGGTCGGTGCTTGAGGACTTAGCAACAACAGGTGTCAGGCAGCGCATGTGGTGTCACTTTCAGATTATCCGTCCTCGATTCAACTCCTGAGCCAACCACTCCAATCCATGTAACCGCGTAGGTCAATAGGCCTAAGGGCATTTGGGTCCTTTCAGGTGCCTGAAATAGGAAAAAGAAAAGAATCGAAAAATAAGTAAAAGAGGGAAAATGGCAAGCTAATCAAGACGTTAACATACTAAGTGGTAATTTTGCGAAGCCCATCTTGAGAATGGCAGATTTAAATCTGTGAATCCACTTCTTGAAAGTGTCAATAGCCAATTTTCTTGAACCCGAGTGGAAGAAAGTTGCAAACTCAACGATCTTTATCATACCCAATCTGGCTCCTTGCAATCTGCCATTTCACAGGAAGGCATTTATCCGTCTAATACTCCCATTAACTGCCCAAGCCCAAATCCCTTGGAAAATGCTTGTTGTAGTTCATTTGATATATGCAATTTTAGCTGATATGGCATATAATTGAAGTACAAAATGAAACAGTCCATGGTACACACTGAACCACAGTACACACCCATATCATAAATCTATTTTAGTGTTTTATTAGGTTGCTTCATTAATTTTCAACTGGATAAATTGCAAAAAGGGCACTAGTGAACTTTACTTTTCCATGTAAGGAGTAATCTTGATGGGAAATCTTTATCAGAACAAATGCAGCACGTAGCTTTGGACAGTTACGGGCTCGGAGTCACTATTCAATCGTTCATGATATGTAATGTAGTAGAAGGCTTGATTAGCAACTGATGTCGTAAGAATTGGTGTATGAGGGGAGGAACAAGAGTAGAGGTCAAAGTGACTGGAGAAACAAACTCACAGAGTTATTAGATAAGATAAGCAGCACCTCAATTGTATGTGGGATGACAACACTTCTAGGGTTAATGTCTTATCCTTAAATCTAAATGCTAATAGCATATATGTGAAAATGACGTTGCCCCACATTTTAGAGACCAAATTACATGATGTCGTGCCTATGGATGTCTTATGACCCTGCAGGTACACTGAGATGGGATATACAATATTACAGTGCCCCTGTATCACCTACATGGCCCCTTCTAGATGGCTAGATGTGGATTAGTTTGTCACTAGAGGCCCTGTCTATAGAGCTGCTCCTTTTGTCATTGGCTGTAAGCATGCAGTGTTGGATATACATAGCTTCAGAGCAACTATATTGGTTGTGTTTCAAGAATTTTGATTCCCAAACTAATTAAATGTAGCCCAATTAACAGAAAAATAGTCCCTCCTTTTGCCCGGATATATGAAAGGTTTGGAATGTCATATAAACTGTACTTGATGTGAACATACTGAATTGGATGGTGCATTAACTCTTCCAAATGAATAGAATTTACATATGTGCCCAGCTGATTAGTTCTTGCATTTGTAGGAGTGTCACTGCTTTGTGATTCAATTTTCGTTTGTACTATAATTTGGGTTGTGTCACTTCTTGATTTAGTGGCCCTCTGTTACGTTGATGGCTCCAGGGAAACTGCCAATGCAGAGAAGCTCAAAGAAGCACACAAGAGGGTGATGGTGGCCAATCATCCAGATGCAGGTGGAAGTCATTACCTTGCTTCAAAGATTAACGAGGCGAAGGATGTATTGACAGGGAAAACAAAAGGAGGTGGGTCAGCCTTTTGATTGGAAAATGGACAACGTGTTCTTCCACTGAAAGGACAATTTTGTATCTCCAGAATCGCGTTAGAAGATAGATAGAAATCTTTGTATGTTTTATGAAAATTTCTGGACAAAAAAGTTGTGGACCTTTATGGAGTAGGTTATTCACTGCTTAAAGATCGGCCCAATTGTGCCCGAATCAATGATGTCACGGCTGTACATGGTAAAGTGTCATTTGTCAGTTCTATTTTGAGAACTACATCACTACATGCTTCTTTCAGAACTAATAGTCTCATGTCGTGGGTTCATCTCTTTTCATTGGACTTTGTTGCTATTGAGTCGCCTGTTCTTCTTTTTCCTTTTCTTTAGATATGATATTCTTCAGGAGTTCAGGTTTTAGAGAGAATGTTGGCATGTGTACATGCCACGACATTATCTAGGACTGGGAGCAGTCCGAGAGGATGCTCTCATGCTTGTTCTTGCCTTTGATCGCAATTTGTAGTGCAAACTGGATGAAATCATGAGATTCACCAAGACAAATCAGCTTGAACTACCTTTTATTGATAATTCCGTATCTGTTTTGAGCCACAACCTCGTGTAATTTCATAATGTCATCCTGGCGCTCAATTGTCAACCTGAGTAGGCCCTGCTGATGAGTTACCTTTCTGAGCCCCACAACATTGAGCTCCTAAACCCAATTGAGGAGACGGATTTGCTAGCGCCCGGACGTTGATCAGGACGCTAGCGTCTGGACCCTGCTCGCACAGGGAGCGAACGAGCGCCTAACACGTCGGGCTTGCGAGAGAGCGCACCAGCAGTGGGCCCACGCCGTTCTGGACGTCGCCCACGCCGCCTTGGACGTCGTCTGCGCCGCTGGCCGCTTTCCACGCGCATCCCATGTGCAACACCCGATTTACTTTTGAAACATCTAGATGCAACAATTGCAACATACAAAAGAAGACAGACGAAACATTTGAAACAAGCGTATGAAACACTTGTGAAAACGTCTGAAAAACATTTGAAAATCATTGCAAACATGTGCAACATCCAAATAAAACACTTGCAAACGTATGTATGAAACACCTGAAAAACACTTGAAACATATGCTTGCAACATGCATGTATATGCAACATCCTGACAAAACACTTGTAACATTCATTTGGAACAGATGAAACACTTGGAACATACACTTGAAACATATGTGTATAGCCATTACAACATGTGCAGCATCCCGATCTAGTTTTGTAACATCGATATACAAGACTTGCAACATACATCTGAAACATCTAAAATATACTATTGCAACATACGCTTTCAGCGTAGCATCTGCTTGTTACTTGGATGAATGTAGGCTCGTCGACGCGGAGCTCGAAGCCGAGGAGTGACGCGGAGCTCGCGAGGGGAGGCGCGAGTCCGGGAGCGAGCTAGCGAGCGCCTAGCGCGTCGGCCTTGCCGTGCGCGGCGCGGGCAGGCGGCAGGGGCACGAGCGGGGGTGGTGCGGGCGAGGGCGGGGTCGGTCCCACGAGCAGAGCAAGCGGGCGATGCGGGTGGTGGCAGCGTGGGCGAGTGCGGGGTCCGTCCGTCCAGACGAACGCCGTATAAGGAGCATTTCCGTTGAGGAGATGCTTATTTTGGGATATTCAGAGATGGAGTTCTTGTTGCTTGCACCGGTTCTACTGCACCCATGGGGCTAGAGGTCCTTTGGGTTCCATTAGTGAATGATGAATACTCTTGAGTACTAGCCTGCTATTTGTGATGGTTCGCATATTGATCTGCTATGAATAGGTTAATCTTTGGCTTGGGTTAACTTGGTAGAGCCTTTTAGCTGTGTGCCATTATAAAAGTTGGTAATTATCCATAAGCTATTAAAAAAGTTAAGTTCTCACATGTGCCACTGCTCTAAATTCTTTTGCCCTCCACGCCACTTCCGTTAAATTTTTCTAAGACATTTTAATCATATCAAATCATATCATTTTTGTATGGAATTAAATGAAGATATTTTTATACAAAGTTGTAGATATTGTCGAGATTTATAACTTTCTAGTTTTGAGTTTTTATTTGAGGTTATTAAGATGCTCAAAAAAGAATTAATTTCATATTCAGACCTGAGGGTATTTTCGACTTGTCACACCCGCGGCCGTTAGAGCCAAATCTAACGAAAGTGGTACGAAGGGCAAAAAAAAAGTTCAGAGCAATGGTACATAACCCAATTTTTGAGTGACACATGTGTAATTACCAACTTTTATAATGGCACACGAGTAAATGCATAATTAATATTTGGTATAAGAAATGATAGTTTTGACGCAATGTGCAGGCCACCTTGCTAGTTGTACTTAAACTTCACGTCCATTTCCTTCGGAAAATAAGGCAGCAATTCCTGCCGACAGCAAAAGCTGGTTCATGACTGCACTTCTAGTCAGGCCCTGTTTAGTTTCCAAAAAGTTTTTCAAAAAGTGCTACAGTAGCCATCACATCGAATCTTGCGATACGTGTATGGAGCACTAAATGTAGACAAAAAAAAACTAATTGCACAGTTTGATTGGAAATCGCGAGACGAACGTTTTGAGCCTAATTAGTCCATGATTGAACACTAATTGCCAAATAAAAACGAAAATATTACCGTAGCAAAATTTCTAAATTTCGCGAACTAAACACAGACTCAAGGAATGTTGATGGCATGCCATCAGGTATTCAGGTCTTAGTCGAGGAGGGTGGTATCGACGTGAAGCCCATCAACGCTCACCTGCCGTCGGCAACCTCCATCCATTGGTTGTGTTCGCAGTTAACAAGTCACAAATAATCACTATTCTTTTCTCTCTTTTCTTTTTGTCATGGATACTTTCTTCATCAAGCTGCTGCTCTGTAATCTAGTAGTAGTCTGTAAAAGTAAAACCAAACAGGTGCTTCTTCTTCTAGTCATGGCGTCATCAGTTTCCTCGACACAAGTAACCTTTTTCTTCTTCTTCTTTCACCACTATCACATGGCTGTAAGTTGGAACCAGTACCACCAAGTGTAGTGTCTTCTCTTGGCAATCCCATTTGCACTTCAGTTTAGCATTTTCACATGTCCTTTGATGGAGCCCTCAGGTCCAGGATATTGGATCCTACATGGTGGAGCACTAACCGTGCTGCTGCTCCACGAATAGATTACTCATCCTGAGGTCATCGCTGCCTGGAGATTCGAGAAGAAGCGTAGAAGAATCTCATCTCATTAATTGCCGGCTTACAACCGATGTTGACTTCAGAATTCTGTGATTTGCTTAATATAAAACCGCGGAACTGTCGGTCCGCAACCTTCAGCCTCCACTGGACCATCTGATGCATAATCGAACGGTTCCTGGTTCATCAAAACATATTCACAAGTGCAGTTGTCGGTAGTCAGCCACTTCTCACCTGCAGTCAAAAATCCTCTTTCCAGTAAGTCTGAAAGTGCAAGTCAATGCCACATTGTCATCTTGTTGGTTGATTGATTCCGTGGCTCAAATTTTTAAAACAAAATAGGCTACTATTTCAAGATGCATTGGCATATGAGTAGCATGGAGAGTCACCTCACCTCAAAGGCTCAGCTGTATCCCCTCCTTACCAGTGACCTCCAAGCACAAGAAAACTCTGCAAAGCCCTTCCATTGCCAAACCCAGGAAAGCCAAGAAAGAAGCTGTAGCTTCACCCCCAGCTCATTCACATTTCTGCAGCAAACAAGGCCAAGATCCTGCAAGCAGAGGAATTGAAGGAGTAATTTACAGTAATAATAAACAAGAGTAAGTGCACCCTTAACACAGGTAGGAGATGGATGGGAGCAAGTACAGATCAAAGGGCTATGCAATGGCCAATGCCGGCAGGAAGCTCCCGTACGTTTTCCTGCTGCTGGTGGCCCTCGCAGCCGGCGTGCTGAGCATCGTCGTCCTGCAGAAGGTGAGGGAGCAGCGCGTCTTTGCTGGGCGTCTCCAGGAACGTGACCGGCAGCTTGTCTCCGTTCGGATCCTTCTCCAGGTATGGTCATGGTCATGGATCACCCATCCCCTTCTATTTCCAGTTACGTGTACTAGTCATTTTCCTCAGTCTAGTTTGTTTCAAGAAACAAGGCAGCAAACCAGATTTCCAGAAGAGAGCGTAGCTTTTTTTTTAAAAAAAAAAGAAAGAAAGAAAGAAGAAGAGAGCGTAGCAGATCAGAAGCTGCTATTAGTTGTTACTGTCTGCATGTTGGTACCACAAAGTGACACAATTCAATGTATTTGTACAACACTGACGTACTGTTAAGAATTAGTACTTCAGGATTTGCTTACCTCTAAAGGGTTTTATAAAAGGACAACCACTAGATAGTCAGTTTGATCTCAAAATTTTGGATATATCAGAAAAAATAATGAGAGAGATAACAACATGTCATTTGTAAGAAAAAAAAGGAAAAGAAAAAAACTGGCCATTTTTCCAGTTTTAACTAGGTTTTTGGAGTTATTACTTACAAATATAGTTCCAAAACCAAAGAATCTCTTATTTTTACCCAAAGACTTGCTGCAGTGAAGCTAGGTTACGCTTATTTGTAGGCATTTTATATAGTACGACATCTGTAACTAACAGGCAAAGAACTTCGATTTCATAGCTACCCTGTTACATGCGCTACAGAACTTTTCTCTCTAGCAGATACAGAATATGAGGAAAATTCAAGAAAATCTAACTTACTGAATGTTGCTGCTTCATCATTCCCAGAAAGAGAAGGCAATTAACAAAGAGATGAAGAGGAAGGTGGAAGAAATGAAAGCAACAACATCTTCACTTAGAACTCAGAAGATAGACCAGAAAACCAAACTCAAGGGACTGGAAACCACAGTTGCAAATCTTAAGAAGACTCAAAAAGATCTGGAAGCAGCTCTCGCAGAAAAAGATAACCGCATCAATCTAATGGAAGAGGCAGCCACAAATCTCAAGAAGGCTAGAAAACAACTGGAGGCAGCTCTCACGGAGAAAGACAGACACATCAAACACATGGAAGAGGAGACCAAAAATGCTACCAACACTCAAAAAGAGTT